GGGGGAGTATGCCTGAGGAACACCTGACAGATTTGGCTATGTGACTGCACCCATTTAATCCAAGGGGGAGGGGTGGCTATGTTGGGCCAAACTGCTTGTGTGATCACACCCTTTATGTACCCAAGTGGTCTGATGACAATCTAGGCTGTCTTAACTAAAAAAATTAACCTACTTGCATGGAAAGGGGAGGGGATTTCAGACACACAGAAGGATGCAACACTTTTGGAACAACACCATAAGCTAATGCAACCTAACCAAGCAAGTTCCCTAGCTTGAAAACTTAAAAGTTATTTGGAGACCCTGAGCCATATTAGCCTGACATGGGCCTATTCTATGAGTGAAGTTGTCAGCCAAGGGCTGGCAGTACCCAAGAAATGGAAGAGTGGGCCTTACCTGAGTAGTGTCTATCAACTCCACTTCCAGCTGCATAACCAGAAACAACATCAGCACATTGTGATGAGCGCTAGGATTCACTTGTAACTGTGGTAACAACAACCATAGTTTCAGTTAACCCTGGAGTTTTCTGCAGCACAGTTACGTCACTTATGGGGCCACAGGTGATTGGCAGGAGATTGCCAGTCACCTGTGGCCTGCCTATCTATAACGGACTCTTCTTCCCTTACTTACTCATAAAGAAGGCAATAGTAACTCTTCCCTCAGAGTTCTATGAATCTTGTTATAATCACACACACCCTTGCATGCTCTTCCTGCTGTGGCTCATGCTAAGCCAATCGGGTGATTCCTTTTGGAGGGGAAATCCTATTCTCCTTTCTGGGGTTTTGACTTGTTGTCCTGTTCTGACAAGAGACACTGCCTGAAGGCCTAGACTGGTCTTGGAGCGTAATTAGAAGCAGGGAACTCACGGGGACCAGGATGGGATTCAATGATACTGTTCCTGTAAATTATTGTAAGATTGCATTGTATGTAGTATGAGGAGTAAGGAACTTTTGGATGCTCATATTGTATGACTTGTAATGGAATACACCCTCTTCCCCAAAAAAGGCAAGAACAGAGCACATCAGTGTCTCCAGAGTTCACAGCCACACCACCTATCATGGAGTGGCGTGCCAGTGCCACTCCAGTGCTTGCCATGCTTAGGAGGAGCAAATCTACACACAGCCATGTTGACACACCTTGACATCTCCATATATATGTACAGTCACTCACTTGTCTGTGAAAGCAAGCATCTCTGGTTTGTTGCAAGTCTTGGTACCAGAGTCCATGTTACTGTTAAGCAGGCCTATTTTTGGGCAGGAACGCACAGGAATGATAAATTACTACTGCAATGATAAATTACTTAACAGCAGGGCTTTTCTTTGTAGAAAAAGCCCAGCAGGAACTAATTAGCATAATAGGCCACACCCAACAGCAGAAACTCATTAGGATTGGCTACATTAGGGGTGTGTGGCCTAACATGCAAAGAAGTTCCTGCTACAAAAAAAGCCCTGGGTTTTGACAATAAACAAAGTAAATAGAATAAGAAGCAAAAGGTGGGTGTGGCTGGGTGACCACACTTCTGGTAACATGGGGGTGTGGCCTAATATGCTAATGAGTGGTGATGTCAGGGGTGTGACCCAATATGCTAATGAGTTTCTGCTGTTGGGTGTGGCCTATTATGCTAATAAGTTCCTGCTGGGCTTTTTCTACAAAAAAAAGCCCTGCCGTTAAGTAATTTATCATTGCAGGTGAGAAGTTGTTTTAGGTTAGCAGGGTTTCTGTAAGCAAGAAAAGGTCCGGCTCCCCAGTACCCATGTGAGGGAAGTATCACTATCCAACATGGGTTGTAGGTCGTTAATAATACATTGGACCGGCTTTTGAGTTGTGAGCTGTCAGTAGAAAGCTGAGGGAGAGATGGCCCTGGTTGAACTACGCAGAACTACCTCAGTTTAAAGAGCATTTTAAACCCTGACCTTTACAGGTGGAAAGACAGAAAATGGTTTGAAGATCAGTAATGGAAGGCATCATCCCCAGATATATTTGTATTTTGAGTTGGTTATCATTGCCTTTCATTTCCAGTGGTGGTTTGAATTGATTGAATTTATTAGTCTGGAACTCTAATTGTATCTATCTACTTCGGAGAAATGCCTAAAAGCACTTCAGTGTACAATGCTTGTATGTCTTTATAATCCTGCTTTGACTTGACTATAATCCTACTTGGTGTTCAGAGATTGGGGCCACAGGTAGACAAGATAGATTTTTCTATGAACATGACAAAAGTCTCAAGTTTTCAGAAAAATCTGAAATCTAAAAACAAATACCGGTACGTGGGATGTTAAAATTCCAAAAAATGATAAAAGGAGCTCCTGTAGATGCCCTCCCTGGCTGCTACTAGGCAACAATGATATTTAAGTCTTGAAAAAAGTAGGCAGATAGAAGGGGGCCCTTTCTAGGACAGTTTTGGCCTTTGAGAGAGGACTTGTTGGGGCCCAGGCCCGCACAACTTGCATGACTCACCCAGTCCTGGCTGCTTGCTACTGTTTAACAGTAGCCACCCCACCAAAGTCAGTATAGCGGTTAGTTTCATAGCAGGATGTGGGAGACCCAGTTTTGAATCCCTGCTCTGCTGTGGAAGCTCACTTGGGGGAATTTGGGCCAGTCACATACTCAGTCTAACCAGTCTCACAGGGTTATTCTGAAGATAAATGGAGGAGAAGAGAATGATGTAAGATGCTTTAGGTCCCCATTGGGGAGAAAGGCAGGTTGTAAATGAAATAAATAGTTATAGCTGAAGCTGGGGGTGCAGGTAAGAAGTTGGTGGGTGGGTGGAAAGGAGAGAAGG